TCACTGGCTTTTTGAATGTTTTTAACACTAACAAACTGTGAGATATTGTGCTGATTTATAGTCAAGTCTCCAAAGGAATCCCAATGGATTGAGGAGTTTACTCCACAGATGTCTCATGGTTGGTCAGTGTTGTTCATGTTTGCTTTGTTGATGTAGGTTTTGTTCTTTCTTTTTGAGTGTGTCGTGGTTATGTTGACTTTGTCTTACCATGCTAGACACAACTAAATAGAAATATGCTAGATTTATCAGGTAGGAACAATTTATCAGGTCTATTTCTTATACACAGTCCACTAAGAAAGATGAAAAGGAGGCAAAGACTTCATATGTGCTGCTTTTCTGACAGCTTTTCTGTTTCTTTTTTAAACCGTAAGATATTCTGTGGGTCAGTAACCAATTTACATATTTAAACTAACTAATAATGGGATATATGTTTGAGTACAAGAGTGAGTTCTAAGTCATCTAGCTAAGAAAATCAGCATTGTGTGAACCCATGTTGCAATAGCTAGAGGAGATTAAACTTGTCCAATTTGACTATCACTACTGGATAAATGACTTATCCACCAGGGTTTTCACTGACTAATGTACCTAATGTTTACAGAACATGGTCCCGATGAAAGAAAACACAAAATTAAACTTTCCAAAATTCCCTCGATAAAAAACAAACACTTGGCAACAGCAGTAGAAGAGCTCATCATGACCAAAAACACAATAAGACATGTAAACTGCTGCATAACGTAGAGAGCTGCAATGTGCACTGACACAACTCTATATCCCCTATAGATTTGAAATTGTACAATGACAATTTGGTAAGATTTAGGTTATGAAGGATAAAAAGCACTATTAAACATATCTGAGCTCTGGTTGAAACTTTCTTGAGTTGATGATGAAATTGTTCAATATTGTCATCAAATAATCAATGCATTCTACCTTGTTGTAGTACAGTTACCGCTAAGTAAAATCAACTATATCCTAGCATAGATGACTGATTATGAATGCACACTGATGAAGTGACTGGGCAACACTGGAGCAGGAGGTCTTCTGAGGTAAAACCCCCAAGTTCTGACCTAATTATTACAACCATCTGGATTTACTAGTTTCTTTAAAATTGTTTTCATACGGACGCACGGCCACGTTACAACAACTGTAAAAAAAAAAAAAAACTTTGAAAGGAGTTAATTTGGGCATCCACTTGGGAGAACCACTGGGATAACGTTGTATATGTATAATATTTTCAACTCCAAATGTTTACATGGGTTCATGTTGTTTCAACATTTGTGGTTAATAGTCTGTCAGCGAGTACTACCTAAATAGTAATAGATTTGTTTCATGACTTTCATGTAAATATTGCCTAATACCTCAGTGCTTGCATATGCCGCCTGCCACAAGTCCATACCATCCAAGTCCTACCTTGATGCCGCCTGCCACAAGTCCATACCATCTCAGCCTATAGCTACCTTATTAGCCACCTTATACATTTTAGATGTTTCTCTAACCTGCTCATCTCTAATAGAGCTTATGCTGGTCACACCCATAAAACAGTTTGGCATCTTCTTCTCAGCCACCTGCAGAATTAAACACCAAGTGTTGGCCTCACTCCACTTGAACACAATTTACACAAGTTTAAGTTAGGGATCATTACGTATGATGGTCTTGAAGTAAATAACATCCGATGACAGCAACATCACTTCCACACCTGCTCTCCTGAGTTTGGTGAACCTTATTTAACCAGTTTAATCACATTAAATTCTGGTTCACCTGATAAAATAACTGATTAAAGTATATCAGAGGGGTGTCATGAGAACAGAGCAAATTACTACAGCCAGTATTTGTCTCACACTGACTCACCCACACAAAAACACTCACTGTTTACAAATGCTACTACCCCCAGTTATGCTCTGAGTGTTTTGTGGTTGTCTGTTAACAACAAGGACACAAATGTACATCATCCACTCTTTTTAAAGTCTCTTTCCCCATTCATAGCATAGAGCTTTTTGTTTACTTAAGTAAAAGGCTAAAATATTTCTCTCCTAGACAAAACAGGGGTTGGAGGAGGAGACAAGTCTTAGTTCCAAGAGTTACAGGGAAAAGAGCAATTTGTTGTCTTACTAAGACCTTGGTTGAGTCACTCTCTCACAGTCGTGATTAAAAATGGCTCACACCAATTCTGCCGCTGTCTGCCGTCCCACCTCTGCTCTCACACAAGCACATACGGCTGCTGTCAGAACAGTCAATTCTCATTTGCTTTTTAATACATTCAAAATTTCACATACTATGTGGGTACAATAGTGTGAAGAATCTTGTTCTGTTCACACAGTGGTACACTTTTGCCTGTGGAATCTCTATGCAGGAATTTGGGAGCTGCTGTTTAAGTCCACACTGATGAAATCAGAATTTTTCATATATTTTTTGTCAAGCTTTAAAATAAAGCTGCTACATTGATAGGTTTAAAATTATGGCGAGGTCATTTTTATCCATGCATTCCATCAATGGATTGTCTGTTACAGTTAAGGTTCATGTTTATCACGATAAGTATGTCTCTATAGTTAGATGGCCATCTTGCTCATACATATTTTTTTAAATACACTTTTAGGCTCTTTAAGGACTTGACATGATACAGAACGATGGTGGATAATATATCACTTAACTAAAAATGTTCTTTTGTTCTAAAGACTGCTGATAAGTAGGTAAATAAAAAAAAATTTTTTTTGGTCACTTTTACTGTTGATGTGTCCTTAAAAGTCACAATACTAATCATCAACATGTTACACGTTGGGTTTTATTAATTGTGCAACACTCACATGCATTTCCACACCACACAATTTGCACTCATTAGCCCATATAATCTAACGATATCCGTCAAAATGTTCCTGAATACGTTCATTAAGTAGGTTTAGGGTTACACATTAACAGACTTTTTAAAAGGTTGTTTTTTTAAGGAAAATATACGACCGTGAGTAATAAAGGCTTTGTACCTGTTGTGTTACTGGCAGCTAACATGCTAATTCACAGCTGCAGTCTAGTTCAGTGAAAACAACAGGAATTTAAATAACTTACCTTTAATTACACTTCAAAACACAAACAACTGCATCCTTATTCCTCGGCGAGATTCTTGCAAACCTGCGAAGGACAACGAAAACCCTGGTGTCGTTCGTTGTTTTGCTTCTGTGTTTGTTCTCCGGACATTTTCTTTTCTCCTCCTCCCTGTCACTGGTTTACACGCAGGGACACACGTGCAAGTGCATGGGCTGGTAAGCGATACCGTGTTGGCCTCTGTCATTGGTCAAGATGAAGTTGTAACCACACCTGCTCCCGCCCACGAGCTTTCGGATTGGCTCAGGGGGCGCGGCCAATGTCACGGGGCTCGGGAGTCACGTTGCATTGAGAGCGGGTCTGAGTTCATTCCCAACAACA